GCTTTTCTAATGTCAAGTATCATTTCCTTAGACCATGAGATCGTGCAACTCCCGGATACCGTAGGAGTGCTTTGGGTGTACCAAACGTCACAACATAATTGGGTGGCTATAAAGGTACACTACAGGTATCTCCAAAAGTGTCTGTTGGGTTGGCATGAATCAAGACTGGGATTTGTCACTCCGTATGACGGAGAGGTATCTCTGGGCCCACTCGGTAATGCATAATCATAATGAGCTCAATGTGACCAAGTGGTTGGTCACGGGATCATGCATTATGTAACGAGTAAAGTGACTTGCCGGTAACGAGATTGAACGAGGTATTGGGATACCGACGATCGAATCTCGGGCAAGTAACATACCGGTTGACAAAGGGAATTGTATACGAGATTGCTTGAATCCTCGACATCGTGGTTCATCCGATGAGATCATCATGGAACATGTAGGAGCCAACATGGGTATCCAGATCCCGCTGTTGGTTATTGACCGGAGAGTTGTCTCGGTCATGTCTGCATGATTCCCGAACCCGTAGGGTCTACATACTTAAGGTTCGATGGTGCTAGGGTTATTAGGAAGACTTGTATGTGATTACTGAATGTTGTTCGGAGTCCCGGATGAGATCCCGGACGTCACGAGGAGTTCCGTAATGGTCCGGAGGTGAAGATTTATATATGGGAAGTTGTCATACGGTCACCGGAAAAGTTCGGGGGCATACCGATATTGTACCGGGGCCACCTGAGGGGTTCCGGGGATCCACCGGGAGGGGCCACCTCTCTCGGAGGGTCTTATGGGCCGTAGAGGGAAGGGAACCAACCCCTAGGAGGGCTGGGCGCAACCCCCCCCCCCTAGGGCCCATGCGCCTAGGGTTGGGGGGAACCCTAAGGGGGCGCCTCCCTTGCTTGGGGGGCAAGCCCCCTCCCCCTTGGCCGCCGCCCCCCTCTAGATCCCATATAGAGGGGTCGGCCCCCCTTCCCCCTTCTCCTATAAATAGAGGGGCGAGGGGAGGGCTGCAACACCACATCCAAGGCGCAGCCCCTCCCCTCCCTAACACCTATCCTCCTCCATTAAGAGCTTGGCGAAGCCCTGCCGGAGTACTGCCACTCCATCGCCACCACGTCGTCGTGCTGCTGTTGGAGCTCTCTTCCTCAACCTCTCCCTCCTCCTTGCTGGATCAAGGCGCGGGAGACGTCTCCGGTCCGTACGTGTGTTGAACGTGGAGGTGCCGTCCGTTCGGCGCTAGGATCATCGGTGATTTGGATCACGGCGAGTTCGACTCCATCAACCCCGTTCTCTTGAACGCTTCCGCTCGCGATCTACAAGGGTATGTAGATGCACTCCTCTCTCTCTCTCGTTGCTAGATGACTCCATAGATTGATCTTGGTGATGCGTAGAAAATTTTAAATTTCTGCTACGATCCCCAATAGGCCGGAGGAGGAGGAGGGAGGGGGCGACCGGAGAAGGAGGAGGGAGGGGTGGTGGGAGGAGGGCGGCCAGAGGAGGAGGGGGGAGGAGGGAGTACCTCGGCGAGGAGCAGCGCGGCGGCGGCGGACGACGGGTTCGGTGCGGCCGGGCGAGAGCGAGTGAGAGGGAGAGAGTGAGTGAGAGGGAACTGCACCGCTCTAGGATAAGGTAAGTAAGTAGTAGCGTGTTTCAGAGAAAAGCGCTACTTCTAAGAGACGTAGCAGTAGCGCTGGTGGGGCATACGCGCTACTGCTAAGTGTGTCTAGCCAACTGCACCCAGTACAAGTATAGCAACAGCGTTCTTTAGCAGAACGCGCTACTGCTAAAGTAGTAGCAATAGTGCGGTTTATTTAAACTCGCTACTACTAAGTAGCAGTAGCGCCCTGTTTTGTCCAGCGCTACTCCTAAGTTGTTGTGTATAAGGTTTTCCCTAGTAGTGAACACCACCACCGTGAGACTCTTCATAAATTCAACCTGGAAGTAGCACACGTCAGAGTTGCACACGTCATTTTCAAAGAGAACTGCAATTATGCTGCCATGTAAACCAACTCAGAATTTACATAAAACATATAGATACAAACAACAACAACATTAGAAGTAAGTATTGTCACAAATCTTGATATCTGAAGGCACCAATCGAGATGCAACAGTGAACCTATACTGAGCCATACATGATTTCTATCATGGCAACATAAACCTGCACATCATTAAATCCTCCTTCATCACCTTGATTCCCAAGAAAGACACTCCTTCGACAGCAAATGACTTCAGACCCATATCATTTTTAAACTGCATGCACAATCAAGTAATCGACATCATTACAAAATTGTTGCCCAAAGAGGCTTCAAAAATTATTCTCAAGCTTGTCCATGTCAACCAGTATGAGTTTCTAAAAGACAGATCTATCCAAAAATGTATGGGTACGACCTTTGAATATTTGTACCGGTGTCACAAGTCTAAGAAGGAAATCATTGTGCGAAAATTGGACTTTGCCAAAGCCTTTGACTTGATTGATCATTCCACAATCCTAGTATTCTAAAGATTAAGAGCTTTGGAGGTAGATGGCTCAACTGGATGAGAATGATCTTCAGTTTTGGGTTCTCCTATGTGCTGCTCAATGGGGTGCCAGGCAAGCAGTTTCTTTGCAAAAGGGGAGTGAGGCAGGGTGATCCTCCCTCTCCTCTGATTTTTTTTCTCTGGTTGTTGATCTACTTCAGACAACTTTTAATGAAGCCATGCATAACTTCCTCATATCTACACATATTCTAGTCAACTCCTGCCCTCACTTCCCTGTCATACAATATGTTGATGATACAATTTTTGTCATGCCTGCAAACTCACCTCATCTCTCACACATTAAAAACCATCTTCAACACTTTGCTGCCTTAATTGGACTGCATATGAACTATGAAAATCTGTGATGGTGCCAATAAATGTCCCCCAAGAGAAAATTGTGACACTTGCAACCAGTATGGGATCCCAAAATGGAAGTTTTCCTTTCACATACCTTGGGCTCCCCCTCGACACCAGCATGCCAAGAATTGAAGACTTTAATCCCATCCTACTTAGGATTGAAAGGAGACTGTTTGGCTGCTCCACTTTCTTCTCCTATGATGAAAGATTGGTCTTTATTAAATCAATTTTCTCTTCACTGCCAACTTTCTTCATGTGTTCTTTTGCACTTCCTGTTGCTATAATAGATCAAATCAATAGATACATAAAGACTTCTTCTCGAGAAAATTTGGAATGGATGGGAAGGGAACTACCTTAATTGCCTGGGACAAAGCTTGTAAGCCAAAATTGCAAGGAGATCTTGGTATCCTTGGTGTTGCCACCCACAATAAAGCCTTGTTGATCAAAAACCTCCACAAATTCTTCAATCGTGTTGATTTACCCTGGGTTAAACTCATACTACTACGCTAGCCTGCCTTCTGAATCTTTGGTGGGTTCATTCTGGTGGAAATCCATTATGAAGCTTTTGCTAAGTTTCAAACAGGTGGCATCTAGTATTGTAGGACAATGCTCCTCAACTATGTTTTAGATGGACAACTGGTTTGGGCCCTCATCTACCTCTTTGGCAAACAAATTCCCTAAACTATTCTCTTTTGCCCTCCATTAGGATATAACAGTTAGTGCTTTTCTAAATTCTAAAGATATGGCCTCTCACTTCCATAGACAACTGCCTATCCAAGCATACCAACAATTTCTGTTGTTGCAGAATTCTACTAACAACACCACCCTCTTGGACACCCCTGATAAATGGACCTACTCATGGAGCAGAGGTGTTTTGTGACCTATGCATATGTGCAAGCACTTGATCATAGGACAAGAATCTCATTTCTTTTTGAATGGCCGTGGAAAGCAGCAACCAGATTGAAGCATAGTTTTTTCTATGGTTCATGTTACATCATAGGTTGAACACTAGAAGTCTATTGTTGCACCAAGGCTTTGTCATCCCTGAATACACATGTGTCCTATGTCCTGCTGGAAATATGGAAACTCCTATGGACCTATTTCCGGACTGCAACTTCTCCCTACAATGTCAGCACACAATCCTACCTAATAGGCAGAGATGTATATCAGTTTATGATGAACCCACCTTGGCTAGTCAGGTATTGCCCCCCTTCAATTGCTATTGATGTTATCATCACAACATGCTGGAATATATGCATGCGGCGAAATGATAAAAAATTCAGGCATATCACACCAAGCACTACCTACTGGAAATCAGATTCAAAAAGGATCTGCAATTTCTTCAGTATGGAGTCAAGGAAAATAATGCATAGACCCTCAGCACCTGGATTACCAGCCATTTATGACCTCTTAGTTATGTACTATTCCCTCCGTTCCTAAATATAAGTCTTTTTGAGATTCCACTACAATATTTCCAGTGTTTACTAATCACATCTCTAGTGTTTCCTAGAGCTGGAATTGGTTAACTTTTCCTTGTTTTTTTGTTCCCTTGTAGCTTGTAAATATTTATACCAATTAATAGAAAATGCCGTAGAATAATTGTTCTATGGTGCTCGATAAAAAAAAATACCTGAACTGACCAAGTCTATAACAAAACTTGGTCAACATCTACAAAACCAAATTTACTTCATTAGATTCATTATGAAATGAATTTTTCATATTATATATATATATATATATATATATATATATATATATATATATATATATTGATAGCACAAATCTTTGTGTATTTTTC